GAATAGATAACAGTGGGATGAATTCGATTTTATTTTATGTATATAATGTCACTGTTTTATTTTGCACATGAATTATTTTTTAATATCTTTTCAATTTATCTTTACTACGTTTCTAATTTAAATATTTTTTAAGACAAAAGCAAAACGGCAGGGAAGAATATTGTAACATTCCATTGTTTTATGATTATATTAAATATATATCAAATTCACTAAGATTGTTAGTTCAATACTTGTAATTAAAGTGACACTGAGCTGAGAAACAGACAGATAGTAAATGATTAGCAGATCAATGGATTAAGGCTGACAGATTATGAACTTATTTGGATTTAATCCTGCCATTGACCAATAGGATCTTAGAGTTTTCCATGCATTATGGGAACCCTTACAGACCTTTGAAAACGCTAAAACATTCTACTAGTGTGTTACTGTTTAATTCATTAGTTCACAATATCAATAAACCTGAAAATAAAGACTTTTTTAATATCACATCGTGAGTGTGTGCCAGTCAGTAAGATAGCTATCTCAGACGCGATTATTCAAAGCTTTGGTTATCCAAGCAGCCATTATTCAAAGTTGTTGCTATCTCAGATGCCATTATTCAAAGTGGTGGCTATCTTAGCAACCATTATTTAAACTTGTAGTTATCAAGGCAGTCATTATTTAAATTGGTGGCTAAGCAGTCATTATTCAAAGCGGTGGCTATCTCAGACACCATTATTCAAAGTGGTTGCTATCTCAGACGCCATTTTTCAAAGTGGTGGCTATCTCACACGCCATTATTCACAGCGATAGCTATATCAGACGCCATTTTCAAAGTGGTGGCTATCTCAAGGCAGCTATTATCTAACTTGGTGGCTATCTCAGACGCCATTATTCAAAGTGGTGGCTATCTCAGACGCCATTATTCAAAGTGGTGACTATCTCAGACGCCATTATTCAAAGTGGTAGCTATCTCAGTCGCCATTATTCAAAGTGGTGGCTATCTCAGACGCCAATATTCACAGCGGTGGCTATCTCAGACGCCATTTTCAAAGTGCTGGCTATCTCAGACGCCATTATTCAAAGTGGTGGCTATCTTAGCAGCCTTTATTCAAAGTTGTAGTTATCAAGGCAGCCATTATCTAACTTGGTGGCTATCTCAGACGCCATTATTCAAAATGGTTGCTATCTCAGACGTCATTATTCAAAGTGGTTGCTATCTCAAACGCCATTATTCAAAGTGGATGCTATCTCAGACGCCATTATTAAAAGTGGTTGCTATTTCAGACGCCATTATTCAAAGTGGTTGCTATTTCAGACGGCATTATTCAAAGTGGTTGCTATTTCAGACGCCATTATTCAAAGTGGTTGCTATTTCAGACGGCATTATTCAAAGTGGTTGCTATTTCAGACGCCATTATTCAAAGTGGTTGCTATTTCAGACGCCATTATTCAATGTGGTGCCATGGCTATTTCAGACGCCATTATTCAAAGTGGTTGTTATTTCAGACGCCATTATTCAAAATAATACTCAATTGGTGGTCATTAAGAAGTCATTATTTAAAGTGGTGGCTATCTAATCAGGCAATATTCAAAGTGTTGGCTATCTTAGACGCCAGTTTTCAAAATTGTGGCTATCTAAGTCGCCATTATTTAAAGTGGTGGCTATCTAAGACATCATTATTTGAAGTGAAGTTTATCTAAGCAGCCAATATTCAAAGTGGTGGCTATCTAAAATGCCATTACCTAAAGTGGTGGCTATCTTTGCAGCCGTTATTTAAAGCTGTAGCTATCTAAGTAGCTATAAATAGGTGGCTATCTATGCAGCCAATCAACCTCTTCAAAGGCGAAGTAGGATTCCACGCCTCTCAACATCACATTCATCACCGAGACTAACAATAAATGATAACCAACAACCCTCTACAATTAAGAAGTCAATCAACAAAAACTCGTTTAGAATCCCCACATTCCAATGATGTTGACACTAATGCCATTGTTTCTTCAAGATGTGTAACTATTGTGTTACCTACTCTTACGGCCTAATGGTTAATACGTTAGTGACGGATCCATCACTTTATTTCACCAGATAGTATTTATCAGCATATAGGTAAAATACCTCAAAAAAAAAATTGATAAAATGGGTTATAGAAATATTAAAACAGAATCCTAAAAAATCATGAGTGATATAGGAATTTATTACAAAACAGCATGAATCATGCTCCTTTGTTAATGGCAGCTCGGAAGACTATTCTTGTCAGCATATTGATGGTAAACCGCATGAAGTAATTGATAATATAATGAAATATGTTTTATTCAAATGAAAAAATATGAGAGAATTGCTTATCTCGAAACTTAATTAATCAGACCTTTTTAATGGCAGCTCAGAAGGCTATTATTGGTTGTTGTATAGGGATATAAGGTATAAAGGTTCGAGTTGTACACAAGTTGACTTCATTTGTCATCTACCAACTATCCAAGTTGTGTGCTCTCTGTGCGATATTAGTTCTCTGGAATTAGATTTTAACTTGTCATCTACCACTACCACCACAAGTTGAGTTACTACTAAACGAGCTGTTATACTGACAACATGGTAAACCGGGTAACTGTTATATTTTGTGGTAAGATAATAATATATATGAATTACTACAGTGATTAGATCGAAACATCTGCCTCTATTCCAGCTTCTGATAGCTGGGACTATCTGAGGCTAGAATAGAGACAGGAGTTTCAGACTATATAGTGATATGATATTAGTATTGTAATGGAAGCATGTTAATCTGATGTCCACAGTGATGGGTTAAGAGTGCTAGTATGGAATGTTTGTTCAGACGAAAACAATTAAAGCGATTCATACCACAATATAAATCTTGTATTTTTCAGTTTATCTCTGTGCTGTACACCAGGTGTATTCAGGTAAAATATATTCTGTATTGTTTGTGTTTTTAATGTATATCTCTTCTCAGTTCATAGTCCGATAAATCTCGCCTTAAACGTGCCTATATATCTGAGGAATGGGTAGGGTCAGTTTTGGGTAGTACGTTTTTGGAAGCTTTCACAATTATAAAAGCCAAATTTGGCATATATATTGGTAGTTATACAAAACTGAACCATTACCGGATATTCTACTTTGTTCCTGTGTCCCACACGGTAACACAATACAATTGAGAAGTAGGATTTCTCCTTCGTATAACTATGAAGCCTGCCACCAACTGTATTTTGGTACCGTGTGGGGCACATGGACATTAAAGAAAATACCTTTTTGTTCTTTATGGACTCATTAGTTTTTGAGCTTTGGACACCAAATTTGGTTTTTGATATGTTAAAGATTTTCAAAACCAGGCTTGTGTTGAAATGAACCTCCATTGAAGCAACCAATTTCATTGTTAATAACGTTACAAGGTGGTGTGCACTTCGTGAAGCTGTGTAATATAATTTTTTCTAAACAAACGCGATCAAAATACTCGGCTTACATTACAAAATTTATCCGTTCTTAGAAGTATTCGCAAGGGCGGAACGGATGAATCTGATCTGTTGTAAACGGTCGAGAGTTCTGAAAACTGTTCCAATACTGGCCCACCTCGGCGAGGTGATCTCGGAACGGTTCTCAGAAACATACATCCGTGCCGAGAACAGTTTCTATTTACACTTACAACTGAAGAACCGTTCTCAGACCTTTGAGTTTACTGTAATGTAAATGGTCACATTTTATTGCGGCCTGCTCCAGGCCGAGTATGTTTTATAGCGGCCTGGTGAATGATGGAGAGATTCGCTCTATTTTTATGTATATTGCCGTCGCCCCTTCCGTCGCTTCGTCCTTCCGTCCGTCAACATTTTTTGTAGGTCAACACGACAGAGGCTATAGTTTTCATCTTAATGAAATTTAGTTTGTATATATTGAGGAGAACAAATATTTTTATTTGTAAGTCACTAAATGCTTTGTTATCATTTGAGTCAGCTAGTAGTAGGCGTATGTTACCTTGCCTGGCCAGTCTCATTAATATTTCGTTGCGTTTTTTTGTTATTCTTCAGTAAGGGTCTGACAATACCCCTCCTGAACGTTCAATCAAATTTCTGCCTTCTCCAGGGCGGTGTTTATCAGGTTAGGTCAAAGGTTGATTTGACGAACGTTCAAAAGGGCTGTCGTTCGACCCTACAAGCTATCTTGTACTTTCCTATTGTAAGGTGACCTTAAGTTTTTTTTTTTCAGATATTCTGACGAGCATCAACACCGAGGCAGGAGTTTTGACTTTACTTGAGATTAATTTTATATTGCCGACTTTGATGACGACAACATTTTAACGTATGATAATTGCCAGAAATACATTCAATTAGATGATTTAAATGGTGAAATAACACATCAAGAGGTAAAGTCCAACCCAGATACACCCAGATTATCTATTGAAGTTTTCCAATCATGGGACTCAAACAATGACGGCGTTCTTAATGATAAGGATATCAGACTGCTGTTTGAGTTGCTTCCCGGTACCGGAAATAAGGTAGATCTACGAGAATTCTTGACAACGTACTCTTCTAGGACGAATGACACAACTGGACCAGTAATGAAGATACAGTCTTTTGTCCAGGCTGAGAGAGATTTCTTGATAATAGATGAAAATGATGATAATATTTTGAGTAGAGAAGAATTTAAGGTGGAATTTAGATTAGCCGACAAAAATAAGAATGGAAATTTGGAAGAATCAGAAGTACGCCACATGTTCCCAATGAGAAGTACTCCCCCAGAAACCATTTGTCAAAACATCTCTGTAAGCTGTTCTGTTGATGACGTGATGCCTCTATTTGATGCAGCAGACAAAAATCAAGATTCCCAGCTCAGCGTTGAAGAATACATTCAACATTTTGGAAACTTGATTCAAAACTAATCATAAAAGATATGATATGACAACACGACGAGTCTTCAATCATATTATTATTATATGAAATAAATAGTATTAATATCTTATCTCGTATTTGATACAATCTTATTACACTACAGTTTCAGACCGAACGAAAGAAACAATCATTTCGAACAAGGATTCGATCCTTGAGCCCAGAAACTCATCATGTCTGCTAAAGAATTAAGAGCATTCAC